GAATTAGGTAGTTTTAAATCTATAAATAGATATGCAGTTTTTTATAAATTATTTGAATTATTTAAAAATTTTATTATATAACCTATCCTATTTTAATATACCAAAAATGTTTCTCTAGTCACATTATATTAAATATTCTCATTGGTTCATTTTTTAATTTTTCAGTCATTTCCCCCCTTTCTATTGTAAAGGGCCTAACTGTTCTCAGACAATTATAATTCAGATTAGGATAATTCTATTATAAATATTGGCAAAACTAATTTATGGATTCTTCTTTGGATCTTTAAATTCTATGAAAGGTTTAAACTTCCTGATGTTTCAATTAATTCATTGTTTAGTTTCTTTAGCCTTATTTTAAAAGATATTAATCCATATCGGTTTAAAGAATTTCCTTAAACCACCTATATGGCAGGAAGTTATTAAATATAAGGAAAAAATTAAAATCTTTTACCACTTGTACCGATTGTAACAAATTGTATGACATTGCATCAATAATTCCAAAAAATTCAGATAGTAATACAACTATAGATTTCAAATGCACATATATTGAATTTCCAAACTATCCTATGCAAAGTTATCGTAAATCTTGTAATTCAGAATTACTTGTAAAGGTTCCAGTAAATAATAGATATGTATAGCATTCAAAGATGATATTTCAATTGTCATGCTTAAAAACTCAACTATCCTTGATGTATCAAAGACCAGATTTTAAAAAACTTTTGAAGAAATGGATTAATCAAAATGTTACTGAGTTAATGTCTGATATCTATGATGGTGAAGTTTGAAAAAATTTCCTGTCGTGTTTGAATATTCTGGACCCTTCCAATTTCTTTACAGCTGAAATAGCTGATTCATATCTGGGAATCATGATCAACTTAGACTAGTTTCAGCTGTTTGAATCATCTGTCTATAGTTGTGGAGCAATTTATGGGATAATTTGCAACTTACCTCGTGAAATTAGATTTAAAAAGAAAAATATGCTTACATTGGGTTTATTACCAGGATCACATGAAGTTAAGCTTCATAAAATCAACCACTATTTTGCACTAATAGTAGATGAATTGATTGAGTTTTGGGAAGATGGTTTTAATTTGACTTTGACCAATAAATATCTTAATAGCAAAAAAATCTGATTAGCAGTTATATGCTGCTCTAGTGACATTCAGGTTGCAAGAAAATTATGCGGCCATATATTTACTCTAGTTGAGTGTCACAGATATTATAAAAGGGCAAGTGGCAAAGAAGGTCAGAAACTGAATTTTAGAGGATTCAATGACATGAATGAGTAGTTTAGTATAAAAAATGTTAAAGAACATTGACGTGATGCCTTAATTTGGAAACATCAACAAACAAAAGAAGCTCAGAAGAATCATGTTAGTAGAACTCTTGTTTGATAGTCTAAACTACTCCGATTACCATATCATAATCCAATAAGGTATTTAGTTGTAGATCTGATACACAATTTATTTTTGGATATTGCCTATTAGATTGTAAAAAAACTTTGGATTGATGGTAGTAAAATAACTAAACCCGATCTAAAACTGATAAAAAAGTGAGCAAAACAAATTAAAGTTCCTGCAGACTTGGGTAGAATTCCTTATAAAATAGCAACTGGAGAGGGTTTTTCAGGATATACGGCAGATCAATGGAAATTATTTATTATGGTGTATGCAATTCCTTTAATGTGGGATCTGTTAGATGATAATCAAAAGATTTTAACAAATTTTGTCAGAGCATGCTTCTTATTAGTATCATATATTATTGATAATAATATGTTAAATGAAACACATATCCGTTTGCTATCTGTTGCTCAATTAGTTAAAGAAAACTATGGACCAGAATTCATCACTCTAAACATTCATCTTTCTCTCCATCTAGCTGAATGTTGTCAAGATTACAGACTGACATATTTGTTCTAGTACTACTCATTCAAAAGAATGAATGGTATTTTAGGCAAGTTAGATGTTAAATTTTAAACTGGTTGTATCCTTAAGTTCATTTCCGAATAGTCATCACCAGATTGAACCAGAATTATTGCAAATAATAATGCAAAATTGGCAACTTGATGATCTTCTATCAGCCTAATCGAATAATATGAAGCTTATCAAAGGGTTAAAATTAATACAACCACGGGCAACATCAGGAAGTTTAGCAAGTTATGATAATTTTGAATCTGATGAACTTGTTCGATTTAGACAAATTTATTGCCTCAAGGTCAAAAATACGATTACTGGTGCTGAACCTTTCCTTGGTGTGATGATGTATCCTAAAAAAATCGATGTTGGTTTGCCGGATAACATATATTCACTTTTAGTGAATTATTACAATGCGGTTTACGGTGAAGACTTGGATTTTTTTTTAATTGTGAAAGCATCTTGAAATCTGATACACTCTGTCCAAAGAATTGTTATGCAACCCTAAATAAATCAGTTCAGACATATTCAAATTGGAGCTGAAATTTTTGGATTTGCTATTGCGCCTCAATTTTTTAAAAATGGTTCAATTGAAATATATCCTGGTTAAGTCCAATACTTCTTTGAACACGAAGTTAAACTTCTGAATAGGAGAGTATACCATAATTTGGCTTTTATTAAATAGTTTAAACCAGCTACAACTCACCAGATGAGATTTCACTTCTAAGTTAATGATGATATTCAAAGTTGTAATGTAGAAATCTGGTTAGATACTTTTTATAATATCAGTAGAGACTGCATTATACCAGTACATAATATATTTGGATGATTTATACCAAGTAAATATGAAATAGGAAAAAGAAATTCAGTCACGTATATGGCTGTTATTCCTATAGGAAGAAAATTTCACATTTTACATAAATTTACATTATTTACATTTATTTTATATTATTTTGTATTTTCCATTCAGTTTTAAATGGTTACTTATTTACAATAAATTTAATATGATGCGATATACAAATAAACTACAATATAAAATTTCAATATTAACAATAAACATCAATGTGAATATAGATTATTTCTTAGACAGCATTTTACCTATGTATGCAACAACCGGCTTCAACATTAACAAATAAATATCCATAGGTATTTTCCGATTGTATCCAAATTATAGTGAAATACCGGTTGCTGCTTATTTTAACATATTAGGATTTTGAATTGGCAAATATATTCCATCCAGTAAGATTGCTGGTTGAACAGCATTTAACCTGTGTAACAAATAAGCATTTTCCAATTGTATCCAAATTATGGTAGAATACCGGTTGCTGCTTATTTTAACATATTAGGATTCTGAATTGGCAAATATACTCCAACTGGAAAGATTGCCAGTTGAACAGCGTTTAACCTGTGTACCAAATGGATAATTTCTGATGATCAACCATTTACAATACTTGAAAACAAGTATTTTCAATAAATGATAAAATTTTTAAATTCAATCACATTAATTCTTTTAGCAGATACATCAAAAATAAATATAATGGAAATTTTTGAAAAGGAGTAAATAAAATGAAGAAATCTTTTTAAGTGAGTTTTAAACATTATATAAAATATATAAAAATATTCTTTCAAAAATATTTATATTACATTATATTTTAACAAAATATACCTAAAAAAATTTCATTTGCTTTAGATGCATAAACATCTACAAATGGTTATTCTTTTTTTTTTTAGCAATTACAATACATTGGATTACAAAAGATTGGGAACTTCAAGATAATTTACTTGACTTTATAAATCTTTGTAATCCCTATTCTGGCAAAAATCTTAGTAATGTTTTTATACAAAGTTTATCAAAGGTAAAAAATTTAAAAAATTTTTTTATATATTAAAAATTAATTATTTTATAATTATATGGGACCTTTGCAATAGAAAGGAGGGAAACAGCTGGATAAAATTAATTTTACTTTTATAAACCAAATATGATTTTTAGGTCAAAATATAATTTAGCATTAACTCATTTTTTATTTTTTTTAACCGTTTCCTCCTTTTCTATTGTAAAGGTTTCATATATTAATAAACAGATTTTCTTTTTAGATTTTTATAATCATAAGTGATAATGCTGAAATAATGATAAATTTATGAAGGAATTGAAAACCATATGTCAAGATAAAAATATTTCTTTTAATGCTAATTGTCATTACATTGCTCATATTATGAATATATCTGTACAAGAAATTTTAAATAAAATTAAAGTAAGAGAAATACAAATTAAAGATGATATATTAAATAATATAAATAAAATTTAAATTATTATTTAATTTAAAGTTATTAGTATATTAATTACTATTTTTAATTAATTAACTTCAGAAACTTATAGTTAAAATATAATCTTTACCACAATAAGATCATTTTGTACGTTATACTAAAGCAGCTAGTCTTAAAATCTTAATCTTATTTTGATGTTAAAACAAGATAGAATTCAACTCATGATATGTTTAATAGAGCTTTTGAAATGAAAAAGGTTAGAATAAATATTAATATTATATAATTTTTTATTTTATTTTATTATTTTTAATATTTATTTTAGGCAATAGATGTAATTACAAGTTCAGACTTATTGATAATGAATAGAAAAAAATTGAAGAAAATATTTCTATATTAAAGGTAAAAAATGAATTTAAACTTTATTTTTTATAATTAATCTTAATTTATAGTTTTTTATACAAACATATAAACCACGAATATAACTTGAACTATTAGATATTCCAAAAGAAGGTGTTAAAAAAAGTTGAAGCCAAGCAAATGCCTTTTGTTTAAATTCAGTTAGATTGGTCTGAAAATCATATATTAATTCATATAATTTCATAAAAGAATCTCATAAATTTTGAATTTTCAGAGCTCATGATGGTCAAAAAAATTTGCTTAAATCAAAATTTCGAACAACTAAGTTTTTCTGATCCCATCAAAGATGTATGATGCCATGTTCTTATTTCATAATTTTCATAAAAATGAAATTAACTTTAATATGCTTAATTTCTTCAACAATTAACTTTTGTGTATAATCATTCCATTTTTTTGTTTCTTTGAATTCTTGAATTATAAGTGCCCAATGACGATTTGTAATTTGAAGCATTACATGCAGTTTATTGACCACCCAGTTTTTAATAGGAATCATGCTAAATGAAGGTCTTATACTTCTTTTGTACAACCTACTAGAAGAAGAAATATCTCAAATATTTCTACAAGCACAAAAAGGATATCTGGAAGACTATCAAACACAGATAGAGTCTGAAATTAGCCAGCTTCAGTCTCAATCACCTCAGTCTACTACTATCAAAACCTCTCCCCAAGGAACTGTAACTTTAAATATTCAGTATATCTTAATAGTCCATATAACTTTAATAAGGCTGAAGTAGATAGAATTGTAGAAGAAGAGAATTCTGAATATCCTCCAATTGATAGTTCAAATTTTAGACAAAGTGGTAACGAGACAGCAGAAACTACAACTGAGATAATTTATCCTCAGTCAAAAGATAAAGGTCCAGAAATTGATAATTTAATCACAGGTTTCATAATATTTCACCCTCTTTTGGACATAGAGAATATCAGTCAAATCCAAATACTTCAAATATCTTTAATCAAATGACCATTGGAAAGTTAGGAACTACCACTGCATTTATTTCTGTTGAGAATCTTATCAATACTTCCAAAGCAACTAAACCAAAGCAGGTCACATTCAAAGCAACTGAAAATATCTCTAACCCTTTCCAATCTAATAATCCTTCAAATATGAATCCTTTGTCAAGTACAAATACTGGAAGTTCTAACCTCTCTTCTGGATTTAGAACTGGAAGTAATACTGTACAAAATAACAGTTAATCGTATTCATGGGAATCCAATATGTTTAATACCTTTAATACAGCTAAAACAGGAAACACAGGATTTGGAATTGCTTCAACCCAGCCTATTACTACTTAACCTACATTTAATACCAATGTCTCTAATACCAATACTAACTATAATAACTTTCAGATGGTGCAGTTGCTTCAACAAATGACTCTGACACTACAAGCTATGAACCCTAACCCAACAGGAAATGTGGCTCAAGTAAATCGAGCAGAATTGAATTTAATTAAACCTACTTATTTTCATGGAATAGATAATGAAGACCCTTATGAATGGCTTGCTTCCTTTGAATGGGCAGCCACAGCTAATCAATGGACTAATAATAGGAAAATAGCTATTGCTGCAGGATATTTAATAGACGCTGCTGCTAAATGGTATGATGAAAATCAACCTACCTTTCAGAATTGGGCTTTACAAGGAATTCAATATAATTTCACCAACCATTTCCTGAATTATTTCGCTAATGCTACTATGAAAAATAAATGGATGACTGATTTAAAGTTAATTCGTCAACAACCAGGACAAAGTGTAGCTGATTATGCTCAAAAATATAAAATGTTAATTCAACGAGTTAACCCTGTAGGAGGCTTTAGACAGCAATATATTATTAGCAAGTTTATCAGAGGATTAGTCCCACATATCATGACGATGGTAGTAGGACATAGTCCAAATAATTTAGACACCGCTATAACCAAAGCTAAGGAAAGTGAGACAGGTTTTGTTATCGCTCAACCCATTCAACAGCAACAGGTCATGGAGCTATTACAACAACAAGTCTCTCAACTAACTGCAAATTTGGCTAACACTCAAGTTCAACAAACGAATTGACAAAACAATTGGAATAATCAAAATCAAAATCAAAGGAACTATTGTAATTATGAACAGAAGAAATTTGAATGTTGGAATTGTGGAGAGGAAGGACATATGGCCAGAGATTGTCAACCACAAACTCAAATTCGATCTCGATCTAATCTCCAATCTAACAATAATAATCGAAATAACAATGGCTCACAGCAAAGAAATGTTAATTTGGCAGAAACGGAAGAAGTTGAAACTGAACAAGAATCTTATGACTACCAGATCAGTTTTACCACAAACCACTTGGATTATATTACCACAATCTGAGTCTACTTGAGAACAACAAAACAGGACCTCACCTCATTCACCAAAACCAATTGTTCAATTTACGTCAGTAAGACCTTATTATGACCAACCTTATAGAATATTTAAAGACCTTAAACGTCATGATGCTAATGTTACCTTCAGACAACTATTAAGAAATCCTTTGTATCTTCAAGAAGTAAAAGACGAAATAGATAAGATTGAAAAAGAAATGGAAATATGGATAAACATTGCACAAACTCATGTAATTGACAATAATAAATACACCACTGCTAGATGTATTATAAGGTTCAAATTAAATCCAATTGAAACTATTTTGGATTCAGGTGCAGCTACCTGCATAATCTCAACTACCCTGGCCTCCAAACTCAACATTAAACCGGACAAGTCTTGACATTTTAGTTGTAACTGCAGATGGTAAACATAAAAGATCATTGGGAATTATAACTTCTGTTCCCCTCATCTTATAAGGAGCCAAATTCTCAGTTGATTTACAAATGATTGAGTCAACTCAGGATACCTTATTATTAGGAATAAACTGGTTTAAAACATTTGATGCACGAATATATTTTGACCAAGATA